CGGTGAGGAGGGCATTTCGTCGGTGAAGCTGTTGGTTCGAGATAAAAACGACAAAGACAAGAAAGACAATAAAACGTCTAAAAGGTCTGTAATCGTCTCTGGAGCCCTAAACTTTCTCTTTCTCGTTCTTGCCTACACGGATAGAAATCTCCTTATACCTTTTGGCAAATTTCCATTGCTGATTATTCATAAAATGTATAAGTCAACTAATAAGCAGACGCCTTGCAAAAAGTTAATAAAGATCATGTGTCAAATGAAATGTATAAGCGGTCACACATACCTTTTATGCATTCTAATAGGACCTATGTGGTTTGTCTTATGGAATGTATAAGGCTGATGCTTTGGCAAAAATGTATAAGTGAAACACATGAATTAAATAATTGATTTTCGTTTCGTGTACTGAACTGTCACACTGCTTGTTTGCAGAATCCATGTTCAAGGTAAGTGGTGTGCAAAGGGTAAGACAAAAAAAAAACAATTTTAAATTGCAAATGCAAATTCACTGAAATTTTGGATCGAAACAAAAATCGAATGAAAAGGATCGATCCAGTCGATTTTTGTCGTGTTTGAGATCGATTTAAAAATCGATTAATCGATGTTTTGTGTTTCGATCCAAGATTGCCTGTTGCTAATTCCAGCGCTTAAAGAAGGTGGAAATATTTCGATCACAAATTCGGAAAAAAAGCTCAGAAACTTGCTAAGCAATTCGAGAGTTCCCACAATTTCAGTTTGGGTTTTACTAGTCCTATTGAGATTCAGCTTGCTCGGGATTTGGACGAAGTAAGATCTATAGCTAAAATGATTCAAAATATGAAAGCTCCGGGTGTTGATGGAATTTTCTATATCCTAATCAAAAAACACCCAGAGAGTACCTTGTCTTTCTTGGTAAAACTATTTAACAGATGTTTCCTGATAAAAGGAAAAATGCAAAAGTTATTCCAATTTTGAAGCCGGATTAAAAAAAAATCCAGGTGAAACTTATAGCTACCGTCCAATAAGTTTGCTTTCTTCAATAAGGAAACTTTCCGAGAAGATATTTTTAAATAGAATGATGCTTTACATCAATACGAACTCTAACGGCGCCGGTGGTGTAGTGGTAAGCGTGATTACCTCTCACCCCAGGAGGCCTGGGTTCAATCCCAGTCGGCGCCGCCGGGATGTTCTGAGGCATAACATCTCTGATCACGCCTTCCTTCGGATGGGAAGTAAAGCCGTTGGTCCCCGGTTCATGAGTTGATGGGTCGATAGGTAGGGTCCAGGTGTGGGAGCTGCCTTCCTGGCACGTCGGTAGCATTGCACAGTGGTCCAGAATGCAGATTTAGGTGGAATGATATGTTTTGAGTCTGAAATTGAAACTTTAGACTAAAAGTCTCTTCTACAAAGTTATTCCTTATAGTTAGGCCCTCATTTTTATGACAATGAATTCTAGGGTGGTTCCTATTATCATTAAAATCAAAAATCTAACTTTTTTGTTTGAATAAATTAAGGTATACATTCTTCGACACAGTTATAGCTGAGCTAATTTCAAGCAACTTTGTTGAAGATAACTTTTTTGTATCTCTTAAATTGGCCGATTTAGAGCTATTTTATTGAATTGAGTTAGGGTGGCTCTTGAAAAAACAGTTTTTTTGTTCTAGTTTCTTATTTCAAATTTCTCAGCAAAGGTGTCTTCAGATAACTTTTAGATCTTAAGAAGGCGCAAGTTTTTGCTACACAAAGCTTGTCAATATCTTTCGCCGATCAAGAATTATTGACGTTTTTATACTAAAAATATGCACTTTTCAAATGTTAATATCTCTGGTTGGGGCAAACAAACAAATTTTTTTTTTACGGCATTTGAAAGGGCGTATGTAATTCCCATTTTTCTGACTAAATTGGAGGTATGTTATTTTTTAAACTCGTATAAAATCAATTTGAATTTAGTCATATTTTTTACTATATTTGGGTATATCTTTTTTATTAGAAGAGATACAGGCAACAAATTCAGGTATAAAACATTCGTCTAAAAGAGTTTTAAAATTCTCTACAAGATAGCTTTCATGAGAAATTTCAAATAAAAAAGTTATTGTTAAAAAACTATTTTTTCCAGGAACACCCTAAGTCAACTCCGAAAAAATACTCTAAAATGAGAACGATAAGAGATAGAAAATTTTTTCTTCGACAAAGTTGCTTGCAATCAACTTAGCTACAACTTTTTTAAACAACACATGTTTTTATTTTGTAAAACAAAAAAGTTGGTTTTAAAAATTCCCTAAATTGAGGACTACCCTGACGTTTGCAAACACCAAAAGAAGGGAATTTTCAAGAACAAAAACTTCTTCGAAGACACTAAATGTCCAAATATTGAAACAAATGTACTAGCACATTTTATATAAATTTGTCATTAGAGTGGTCCTATGAAATCGATTTTATGCCAATAACTTTTTTATTTGAAATTTCTCATGAAAGTTATCTTCTAGAGAATTTTAAAACTCTTTTAGACAAATGTTTTATACTTGAATTTGTTGCCTGTATCTCTTCTAGTAAAAAAGATATACCCAAATATAGTAAAAAGTATGACTAAATTCAAATTGATTTTATACGAGTTTAAAAAATAACATACCTCCAATTTTGTCATATTATTGAGAATAACATACGCCCTTTCAAATGCCGTAAAAATTTTTTTTTTGTTTGCCCCAACCAGAGATATTAACATTTGAAAAGTGCATATTTTTAGTATAAAAACGTCAATAATTCTTGATCGGCGAAAGATATTGACAAGCTTTGTGCAGCAAAAACTTGCGCCTTCTTAAGATCTAAAAGTTATCTGAAGACACCTTTGCTGAGAAATTTGAAATAAGAAAACTAGAACAAGAAAACTGTTTTTTCTAGAGCCACCCTAACTCAATTCAAGAAAATAGCTCTAAATCGGCCAATTTAAGAGATACAAAGAATGTATACCTTAATTTATTTAAACAAAAAAGTTAGATTTTTTATTTTAATGATAATAGGAACCACCCTAGAATTCATTGTCATAAAAATGAGGGCCTAACTATAAGGAACAACTTTGTAGAAGAGACTTTTAGTCTAAAGTTTCAATTTCAGGCTCAAAACATATCATTCCACCTAAATTTGCATTCTGGACCACTGTGCATTGGTGCTCAGCACGGAAAACAAGATCGACGGAAAAAACAAATCAAAGGAAAAAAAAAAAAAAATCAATACGAACTCAATTTTTGCAAATGAGCAGTTTGGATTTCGCCACGGGCATTCAACTACTCATCAACTCTTAAGAGTTACCAATTTAATTCGTTCAAACCAATCTGAAGGCTGCTCAACTGGAGTAGCTCTTCTAGACATGGAAAAAGCATTCGACAGTGTATGGCATGAAGGTTTGATTGCTAAATTGAAACAGTTTAATGTTCCACTTTACACAGGTAAATTATCAATATTTCAAATCTGAACGACTACCTGCTAGAGCAGGAGTTCCTCAGGGTAGCATTCTTGGGCCTATATTATATAACATTTTCACTTCGGACCTCCCTGATTTGCCTCAAGGTTGCCACAAATCTTTATTCGCCGATGACACAGGCATTTCCGCTTCGTGCTATTTACAGCAGACGGCAGAAAAGTTTAGATATTTTCTCTTCTTATTTACAAAAATGGCAGATTTCTCCCAACGCTTCCAAAACTCAACTTATAATATTGCCACATAAGCCTAGAGCTTCCTTTTTGAAACCTATTAGTAGTCACATAGTCTCTATGAACGGAGTTCCAATTTCCTGGCCAAACCAAGTGAAATATCTTGCATTAGTACTTGACCAAAAATAAACCTTTAAAGATCAAATTGAGGGCATTCAAGCCAAATGTAACAACGAATAGACTTCTAATATTTAAACAATTGTTTAGACCGGTTTGTAATGGGACTGAAATGCGTAGAATTTTCTACTTCATGGCAAATTTCTCGGCATAACAGTCCCACTGAATATTATTCGTATAAAAATATGCTCGACTGAGTTCAATGCAGGTCATTTCGACAGTTTTCACTAAAATATATTGATACACTAATTTATTTTAACGTATAATACTGCCAATGATAGAAAGATGCGAAACATTTTTCACAGATGCACCTTTTAAAACATGAGACAGATATGCGTAGAACGACAGTGTATGTTTCACAAGTTATCTTAAGAGCTTTTCGTGATTTTAACAGGAACCCTTAAGAAATTTTTAAACCCACTGAACACAGTTTGTAAATTGGTAAAGTTTGAGGTTAGAAGCATTGACTGATCGGCTTAAATCGCGTCTCTTTTCACCTTTCGTCATACACATCACAAACAACTTCATCTCTCTTCCGTCACTTCACCTTACACACTTCGTCACCATCATTGAGGTCAGTGATTGAGTGACATGACAGCCTGCATCAAACGGCAACTTTTTGAAGTTCACCGGTTTCCAGTTCAATTCTTCGTTCTACCGGTGGAAGCACAATTGTCCCATGTGCACATGAAAGTCTATAGCACATGGGATAATTATGCGTCCACCATTATAATTATACATTTTCCTTTTCAACAAATCTGACCCGCTACGCAACGTATCCAACCAAAGCCGAACTACGACGATGACGACAACAATAAGCACTTGTCGCGTTCTGTGTCCAGTATGTTTATAAAACACCATCTCTGCTTTCTTCTCATTTTCTCTGCACTCAGGTAGGTAGGTGCTCTTCCACTGCGCCAACAAGAACCGTTGAAATTAAGATTTAAATGTATGCCAAACAGCATCAACCAACCACTCGGCGATCAAGTTCTGAATTCACAAGTACCCTCCCCTCCTTGCCGCCGCCCATCGCTCCCTCTTAGTTACCGTCGGCAGGTTTTTCGATCTTTCATCAGTCGCGAGAATCGATAGCCAGCAAGTTGAGAGGGTGTGGCGCTCGGCGTAGAAAACGGTACTATTGAACTTGATGTTTGAGGATCGTCGTCGACTCGAAGAAAGCACCATCTCTATATAAGGTACCTCCGTCGGTCACGGCCAAACCAGTCGTGGTCGTGATTTTGAGCTCGAGTATCGGTGGGTAGTATGAAGTGAAGATCTGAGTTGGGTTGGAAAATCAGAATGAAGTTCCTGGACCTGTTTGCGATCGGTCTGGCCATAACGGTGCTACTGGACCGTGGTGACCTAGTTTGTGGACTATCCACCGTTGGACGAACCGCGGATGGATTGATAGTGGTTCCGGAAGCGCCGACCGAGGTTGCCATTCAGGAGGATTCGGCCAAACAGGAAACGCCACAAACACCGGTCAAGTACGACGGAGCTCAACTGTGGAGGATCAAGTACCACGATCAGATAAACAAAAACGCCGTCGCGGAACTGCAGAACCAGTTTGGTGCGTTGCGCTCTCACCTTAATCGAAAATCTTAGCCTTCTAACGGTTATCATATCACTTTCTCGTTCGAATCCCACTCGCAGGTGCCTCCATGTGGAACTACAACATCACCTATGTGGACGTCTTCCTCAAGGGGCCGAAGCTGCCCGGAGCACGCAAGCTGCTGACCCAGTCCCGAATTTCGTTTGAAGTGATTATCGACGATATCCAGCGGGCGATCGACAACGAAAATCCACCCAAGGACGAGCTGGACCTGTGGGAGAATCGCGACGGTAAGTTCCAGTTATTATTGATTGTGATCCGACCCGGCACGCGGTACAACCCGAACTAAACTGTTGCGATTATCGTGGGGCTCTCGGGGTGCCGCTGGATTTATTCTTCACTTCCCAGTCCTGCGGCTCGTGGGTGGGTGGGTGGTTGTCACGGACGGGCACAAGTGTTATTTTGAAGTGAGTGTTGCGTGCGAATGTCATCCCTTTTACACCATCCAAATGCAACCTGCAAGCAAAAAGTCAGTCGGATTGAATGATTGAAAAGGCACTCGATTCCGTTGTTTTGCCGAGCTGGAAATCCGAACTGATTCGTGATTAGGGCGTACATGCCTTTTGTAAACGAACACGTCAATCGCCGATTTCTCACGGATAAAAGCTCAATCTCGCAAACAAAATATACTAAATGGTAGAGCAATCGTTCCCCTAGCTAATTGTGTGGTTAGGTTCCGAGATTGAGTTTGTTTACAAAAGCAAGTACGCCCTAATCACGAATCAGTCCAGAAATGCGCTCACGAACGATTTGGTTTGGCGATTGAGTCCTCTTTGTTCGATGAAATTCGTCAATCATTGGGGGGAATTCGGAAATACCTTTATGGGCCCACCGCGGTTTTCTCCTGGACGCCATCGTAGCCGTTTCGAGGCAAGCTATCGCCAATGGCAACGGCGACGGCGAATCCACCCAAGGGAAACCTCCACATATGCCTATTAACATAACACATGGAAAGGAACGGAGGCAGGTGGGGGGCATTCAACACCCGTAGTGTGTTTTCAATCAATCATTTTCGGTTCCTCCTAGCCTTCGTGGAACTTGCACACCTACGATGCCTAGTTAGACTGGTCCAATTGTTGCGGTGTTTTTTTTTGGGAGAAATATTTATTCGAATTCTTGAGTTTTTAAGGGTAGAATAGATGCAGTAAAGAAGTTCCTACGAATTTTGGCTCCGTCGCGATGGAGGACATGTCTAATATTTAGCACCCTCCCAACACTCAAAGAAAGACCAACCGATTTGCATTTGCATCGGCAAAAAGGAAAAGAAAGTTTTCATGCGTGTAAAAGTCGTATAGAATATAAGCCTGCCTGCTGAAATTCTTTACTGAGAGTGTTGTTTTATTCACCATATGTATAGGTATTGACATTAATGGGGGGAAATGTTCCTTTCCAATTTTACACTTGTTACCATCATACGCTTTACGAGTTGCTTGAGGTCGAAAAGTCACCTGTCATATTTGCCTACCGGAGTTTTGTATGTCAGCGGTTGCATGCTCGGCGAATATTTAAACGAGTGCAGTCCGTTAGGCACAGGGACGTTCAGCATAAGTACTCGGAACTTACGCACATGTAAACAGAAATACAAAGGAACGAAGATGTTACAAATGAAAAAGGATGCCATAGGAATAGTGGAAGAAATAATTAAGGAAAACAAATTTGAAGAATGGAAGACATAAAGAAGCAAGCAAGGCAAAATAATTTTTAAAGAAATACGAAAACAAACATTAAGTAAGAGATAGAAAACTGAGCACATTTTTTAATTTTCGTCTACTTTTATCACACTATTACGTCAAGGGCGTAGCTAGGTTTCATAATAGGAGAGGGAGGGGGGAAGCCAGCTGCCATTAGGCTCTAGTAGTCAGTACGTCAAATGAGTCGCAATTTAAATTTAAGCCATACTGCATTCATTAGCGGCTCCAGCGTTGTGATCTCTTTACCGTGTTAGTTACGACATTATTCACTACTAGATGGAAAAACCTTGTTTATAATCTTTGTCAACCTTGCAGTGAATACATCATGATTTACCACAATAGGCCCCCTTCCCCATCGTCCCTCTCACGCCCAAGTCGCGAGACTGAGAAATCCGGGTATAAAAATTCGACCATCTGAACACTCTCCAAATCGCGATTAGAGCCATATTTAAGGAGATAAATCGATTTAAAGGTTTGGGAAGTCCACCAGCCAATAAATAAAGAATTTTTAAATATTTTATACTGGGAAATCTGGGTATAAAAATTTCGACCATCTGAACACCCCCCAAATCGCGATTAGAGCCAAATTTAAGGAGATAAATCGATTTAAAGGTTTGGGAAGTCCACCAGCCTACAAACAGAGAATTTCTAAATATTTTATACTGGGGAATCCGGGTACAAAAATTACGACCATCTGAACACCCCCCAAATCGCGATTAGAGCCATATTTAAGGAGATAAATCGATTTAAAGGTTTGGGAAGTCCACCAGCCGACAAACAGAGAATTTCTAAATATTTTATACTGGGGAATCCGGGTATAAAAATTTCGACCATCTGAACACCCCCCAAATCGCGATTAGAGCCATATTTAAGGAGATAAATCGATTTAAAGGTTTGGGAAGTCCACCAGCCGACAAATAGAGAATTTTTAAATATTTTATACTGGGAAATCTGGGTATAAAAATTTCGACCATCTGAACACCCCCCAAATCGCGATTAGAGCCATATTTAAGGAGATAAATCGATTTAAAGATTTGGGAAGTCCACCAGCCGACAAACAGAGAATTTCTAAATATTTTATACTGGGGAATCCGGGTATAAAAATTTCGACCATCTGAACACCCCCCAAATCGCGATTAGAGCCATATTTAAGGAGATAAATCGATTTAAAGATTTGGGAAGTCCACCAGCCGACAAACAGAGAATTTCTAAATATTTTATACTGGGGAATCCGGGTATAAAAATTTCGACCATCTGAACACCCCCCAAATCGCGATTAGTGCCATATTTAAGGAGATAAATCGATTTAAAGGTTTGGGAAGTCCACCAGCCGACAAATAGAGAATTTTTAAATATTTTATACTGGGAAATCTGGGTATAAAAATTTCGACCATCTGAACACCCCCCAAATCGCGATTAGAGCCATATTTAAGGAGATAAATCGATTTAAAGGTTTGGGAAGTTCACCAGCCAACAAATAAAGAATTTTTAAATATTTTATACTGGGAAATCTGGGTATAAAAATTTCGACCATCTGAACACCCCCCAAATCGCGATTAGAGCCATATTTAAGGAGATAAATCGATTTAAAGATTTGGGAAGTCCACCAGCCGACAAACAGAGAATTTCTAAATATTTTATACTGGGGAATCCGGGTATAAAAATTTCGACCATCTGAACACCCCCCAAATCGCGATTAGTGCCATATTTAAGGAGATAAATCGATTTAAAGGTTTGGGAAGTCCACCAGCCGACAAATAAAGAATTTTTAAATATTTTATACTGGGAAATCTGGGTATAAAAATTTCGACCATCTGAACACCCCCCAAATCGCGATTAGAGCCAAATTTAAGGAGATAAATCGATTTAAAGGTTTGGGAAGTCCACCAGCCAACAAATAAAGAATTTTGAAATATTTTATACTGGGAAATCTGGGTATAAAAATTTCGATCATCTGAACACCCCCCAAATCGCGATTAGAGCCATATTTAAGGAGATAAATCGATTTAAAGGTTTGGGAAGTCCACCAGCCAACAAATAAAGAATTTTTAAATATTTTATACTGGGAAATCTGGGTATAAAAATTTCGACCATCTGAACACCCCCCAAATCGCGATTAGAGCCATATTTAAGGAGATAAATCGATTTAAAGGTTTGGGAAGTTCACCAGCCAACAAATAAAGAATTTTTAAATATTTTATACTGGGAAATCTGGGTATAAAAATTTCGACCATCTGAACACCCCCCAAATCGCGATTAGAGCCATATTTAAGGAGATAAATCGATTTAAAGATTTGGGAAGTCCACCAGCCGACAAACAGAGAATTTCTAAATATTTTATACTGGGGAATCCGGGTATAAAAATTTCGACCATCTGAACACCCCCCAAATCGCGATTAGAGCCATATTTAAGGAGATAAATCGATTTAAAGATTTGGGAAGTCCACCAGCCGACAAACAGAGAATTTCTAAATATTTTATACTGGGGAATCCGGGTATAAAAATTTCGACCATCTGAACACCCCCCAAATCGCGATTAGTGCCATATTTAAGGAGATAAATCGATTTAAAGGTTTGGGAAGTCCACCAGCCGACAAATAGAGAATTTTTAAATATTTTATACTGGGAAATCTGGGTATAAAAATTTCGACCATCTGAACACCCCCCAAATCGCGATTAGAGCCATATTTAAGGAGATAAATCGATTTAAAGGTTTGGGAAGTTCACCAGCCAACAAATAAAGAATTTTTAAATATTTTATACTGGGAAATCTGGGTATAAAAATTTCGACCATCTGAACACCCCCCAAATCGCGATTAGAGCCATATTTAAGGAGATAAATCGATTTAAAGATTTGGGAAGTCCACCAGCCGACAAACAGAGAATTTCTAAATATTTTATACTGGGGAATCCGGGTATAAAAATTTCGACCATCTGAACACCCCCCAAATCGCGATTAGTGCCATATTTAAGGAGATAAATCGATTTAAAGGTTTGGGAAGTCCACCAGCCGACAAATAAAGAATTTTTAAATATTTTATACTGGGAAATCTGGGTATAAAAATTTCGACCATCTGAACACCCCCCAAATCGCGATTAGAGCCAAATTTAAGGAGATAAATCGATTTAAAGGTTTGGGAAGTCCACCAGCCAACAAATAAAGAATTTTGAAATATTTTATACTGGGAAATCTGGGTATAAAAATTTCGATCATCTGAACACCCCCCAAATCGCGATTAGAGCCATATTTAAGGAGATAAATCGATTTAAAGGTTTGGGAAGTCCACCAGCCAACAAATAAAGAATTTTTAAATATTTTATACTGGGAAATCTGGGTATAAAAATTTCGACCATCTGAACACCCCCCAAATCGCGATTAGAGCCATATTTAAGGAGATAAATCGATTTAAAGGTTTGGGAAGTTCACCAGCCAATAAATAAAGAATTTTTAAATATTTTATACTGGGATATCTGGGTATAAAAATTTCGACCATCTGAACACCCCCCAAATCGCGATTAGAGCCATATTTAAGGAGATA